TAGATAATATTGCTTTACTGAAAATGCTGGCTAGATCTAGACAGTATGTATTATTAATGGCCTGTAATATCCCCTGCCACTCCAATGCTATACTTTTTCCAAAAGAGCTCCAGCCTGCAATGTAGCAAGCATTGCTAAAGTACAATTTACATCCATTCCAACCGTCATCATAGGGCTCCTGTGACAGATACATGTGTGCATGCAAGCTGCTAAGGCCCCATTTACACTGCCATTTAAAATCCAGATGATCTGTTTTGAACTGGATTATATGGCAGTGTAGATTCATATAATCCAGTTCAAAGCAGATAATGTTAATTATGTATGTACTTCAATAATCTGGATTATATAGCAGTGTAGATCCAGACTCCGTAACACTAAGCCTAGTTCCTTTGGAGGGTTCTCCTGCTCAGGTTCCACTGCAATTAATGGGCTCTTTTCAAATAGTACAAAAGAACACTCAATGGCCTCAGCCCTTGATGGTCTATTTATCTTCTTCCCTCAGTGCAAGTGCTACCATTTAGCAAAATTACATACTCAGCTCAGCCTAGAGGACAGTTTCCTGCCTGTTACCCTCCATGCCATACATCACTGTCTCTGCCTTCAAAACTAATTTCTGTTGTTGTCTCGGCAAGACATTTCTCCATTTCCAGTGTTGAAATAGGATTTAGCTTCCAGTCCAGCCATATTCTGTGTACTATATTCGCATTCTGGTCTTCAATTATACCATATTAAAAAAACCTTATCTTTATGGCTGCTTAAAGCAGGGATCTTGTTAGTGTCATAGAAAGGGCGCCTCTCTAGGACCATCACTCCATCCAACATGTTCATGCAGCCTCTTCAGTGTCACTTCTGTGTCTCAGTTCCATAAACTGCTATCCAAATTCGATATTACATGCAGAAAAATAACCATGATGCATTCAAGCACCATACATTGTTTTCTATGAGCGTTCTCACATAAGAAGAGTTTTCCTGATGAGACAGTTCTTCTAATAAGTCTCTTTGGGGAAAGATTTCAGTACATAGTCATTAGTAATTTAGCAGGCCTCTTCATCCTTATTAGATGCATTTGGTATTATGGTGTGCCTAGGAAGAAACCCTTGACTGTTGGAATTCACAGAATGTAGTCAACCATATGTGCCAAGCTTTGTTTCAGATGCCATCTCAGACACAAAATGAATGAATGGCTTTGGCTATATCAATATATCTCATCCTCATAATGTTGAACAGTGTGTTGGTTTGTGTCTCATGTCACCTGTCAGCTTATTTCAATCCTGAATTTCAAAGGGGTTTCTTTGGCAAGGAGTGGTTTTGCCATTTCCTTCCTCTGAAATATAGCATATAGTACCTGGTATTCATTGGCTGTCCCACATAAGTACTACTAAGGGCTGGCTCTGCTTAGCTTGCAAGATCAGATGGGATCTGGTACCTTTAGAGAGTAGTTTAGTGCAACTATGTACCAGAGTGCAATAATAACTTGTGAGTAGTTGCATACACATGAAAAATGTATATTATCATTGTTTCTATTCTGATCCTAGTTTTATTGTTTTATTTGCTGTTTTACAGAGGGAGGGATTGAGAAAGCATTAGTTTGTTCCCTAAAATAAGTAAAGCAGAATGCATTTTGAATGAATGGATAGATTAAGTCTGTATGACTTCATGTTTTAATATTAATGATAAGAACTGTATTATCATTTATCTAGAGAACAGGCTGTTTCCAATGCATAACTTATCCTAAACAGTTTTGTTTTGAAACATACTTCCCCTGTTTACCCTTGGCAAACATTTCTTCCTTTTCAGTGTTGTCTCCCAAAGTCAGATTATTGAGACTAAATGCTCTTTTCTGTTCTGTAAAGCACATTGTATACTTGGTTGACTTTTCACCACCACCATCATCATGCTCTTCAAGCTCCCCTGAGTGATAAAGTTCTCTTTGTTGGGCTCCAACCAAGAGACAGCTTTACCTTTTAATATAATGTAGCCAAAAACTCTTAGCTGAAGACAAATACTACAACAGACTCAAGCAGATAGACTAGCATGAGGAAGGCATGGTGATTAGAAAGCTTCCATCAGTCATGAAAGAAAAAAGACCGTAATCCAGCAATGAATTTAGAAAAGCATGACTGACTGACACCAGATCAGAACTGAAGGAAAAGGATCACAGCTTTCTCATCAAATGAAGTCAGCACAGCTGGTCATTGCCATGGCCTTAGCTTTTTTGGCAGGACTCGAGTTCCCATAGATCTGTGCAAAGAAATAATGGAGGCTCGGAATTGGTTCATTTGTGGTAATGATTCACCCTGCCTCAAAACACTGTCATCTTGACAAGAGTAAACATGAAGCAAGTTTTCCCAGAATGAAATCTAAACACTGTCGAAGTCATTGGTCAGGGATGTCTCACAGTGACACTGAAATGAACCTATTTCTGCTGCTTTTAGGATTTCATCAGCTCCTTGAAGGAAAGGCAAATCTTTAACTGATGCATCTCTAATCAGTGAATTCCAACTAGTGTTGCTCATCCTTCAGGAGGAAGTTGATCTAACAAAGGGTTCAAAGCTTACTTTCAAATGATATGAACCAAGCACACACACAAGCTGCCCAGTCATAGATAAAAAACAGAAAACCAAGTCCATTACAAATTTCAGCTCTTCTTGATCTACTATTCTCCAGGTAGTTTTAGTAGCAGAAAAGGAAACCAATGATGGATAAAGCCAACAGCCCTCATCTTTATGACCCTGTTGGTGTTATCTACCTATCATATTTGCATTGAGAAGAAACATATCTAGAGGTGAACCTGGTTTATAAAACTTCTCTTTTCTCTTTACACTACTTTAAAGGTTATACCACTTCTATTGTAATGGCTCCATCCTCAAAGATTTTGAGCTTACTAGTTTTGGTGAGGTACTTAGAATTCTGTACTAACCAGCCCTAGTGCTACAGATCAGGAGAATGGATTAGAGCTCTCTAGAGATGTCTATGTGCCTCATTGCACTACAAATTCCAGAATACCATAGAATGGGAAATGACATTTAGGATAGAATGAGTTAGTTGAATAAGAACTGCTTTTGTACTTGCATTCAGTTGGAAGTAAGCTAAGGAAAAGGGGAGAAAGTGGGTGGAGAAGAGAAAACTGGCACATTTTAAAACCAGATGAAAAGTGGAACAACAGGGGATTAGTGAGAGCTGTCCCTGCCAGTCAAGGCAGTTGAAGGGTATGATATCTGTTGCTGAAGGGGAAAGGTGTGTTGTCTTCATACATTTTTGTTGCCTTCCTATAGGCTACTGGTTGTCACAATGTGAGCAGAACACTGAAAGGCTTCATTTCAAATCCAGAAACACATGTATGTTTTGCCCCTGTATGACTTTCCTCTAACTAGCTTCCATTTTGCTATAAGAAGAAGATAACTCATTCAGTTCAGGCAGCATTAAATATCCAGGTGCCTGATAAAACTTGGGCAGAAGCATGCATGTTTAGAGCTGACATAAACAATCAGCTATGTAAGAAACTGCAGTAGTAAACACAACCATGTGTTGGCCTTTTGTCCTTCCAAGCCATTTGTTTATTGAGGATGTATCTACACAGCAGAATTAATGTAGATCTCACAACCTCTGAGGATGCTTGCCATAGATGCAGGTGAAACGTCAGGAGAGAATGCTTCTAGAACATGGCCAATAGCCCAAAAAACCTACAACAACCCAGTGATTCCAGCCATAAAAGCCTTTGACAATACACGGAATTAATGTAGTTTGACACCACTTTAACTGCCATGACTCAATGCCATAGAATCGCTGGACTTGTAGTTCTACAAGGTCTTTAGCATTCTCTGCCAAACAGTAGAGGTGAATCACCAAACTACAAATCCCAAGATTTCATAGTTTTGAGTCATGACAGTTAAAGTGGTATTAAACTGTATTAATTCTACTATGTGGATACACCCTGAGAGAAGACGCAGCTTGGAAATTATTTTTTGTATTCCATTATCTACTTCTCATTTTAATTTTTGTTTGTAAACTTTATTTATACTGGCCTTTCTCCCCATGGGGACTCAAGGCAGCTAACAACCATACACTTTGATCCCCATTTAAAACAAAGTGAATAAAAAAAATTTAAAAAAACCAATTACATGTGGGTAAGGTTAAAAATTACAATATAATAAATACAATTAAATGCATTTTAAAACAGAATTATTGGTTTGGTCAGTTGCAAATCAATCCTTGCTCAACTGATAGTCATGGTTTATTTGCCTTATTACAAAGCAGTTTTAATACATCAAAAACCACAAGCAAGTTTTCGAAGAAATTCAAGCTATAAATCACAACTTCCTTTGTGTGTTTCTGGAGAAATTACACTGAAATCTTACTCCACATTCAGCCGTGACTGCAAGGACAATTTTCCCAAATTGGAGACTTCATCCAGTTCCATCAACCTGGCATTAATTATGATTATGTCTCACTGAAATTTGTAAAAGAAAATTAATTTATAGCTATCTTAAGTCTCATGGCTTTCTATAAGACTTGGGGATGTATCCCCATTACACAATCATAGTGTTTTGATATTGCTTTAACTCCCTAGGCTACATCTTATGGAATCCTGAGATTTGGAGTTTTATTATCTATGTTCAAGGCAAAACATTGTGCCTGGAGACATTCAGACAGGGTTTCCAGTTAGGGTGTGTGTGTCTGTGTCTGTGTGTGTTTTGTTTTGTTACTGGAATGGTTTGCAGTCTTTGGAATACTCGGGGGGGGGGGAGGATTTGTGTGAGTGGCTACAGAAAAGAGGTAGAGGCCTTATACAACCTATGGGCCATTGTTTGCACAGCCTATGGGGAAAGGAAGACCTGGCTGAAGAGCTGGCAGTTATGGAAGAAACCCTAGAATGTATATATCAAATTGTATGCTAACCCTCTGCTTGTGCAGACCACAGAGCATACAATGTCTTTCTAACACATACTCAAATGTTACATCCAGCCCATGGTTTCCCAAAACTCTGTGTTTCCAAGTTTAAAAAAAACACAAGGCATCAATTGTAAAATTTCACTAAATTTATTTATTTGTTTGTTTGTTTATTTACTATATTTATATACCGTCCGTCTCAGCCCGCAGGCAACTCAGGCTGAGAGGAAATCTAGACAAATATCAAACGTTCCTTGGAAACAACAAAGAATTAAGAAACATCTAATTCTGGGTGAAACATTGAAACAAAAAAATGTTTCCAAAGAAAATGGGAAATGAGTCAAAGAAATGCCAAACAAATAACTATAATAGATTTAGTTGTAATATTTAACATGTGTGTCCTACACCTTATTTTGAAAGACAAAAGTCCCCCTGAAACAGCCAGTCAGCCAAGACATTAATTTTTAATAATAATCTGTCACCTCACCACAGGCAGTTTTGCCATCAAGCAGAATGGAGAGCCTTTGTCTTCTTATCTGGATCAAAGTGTTGAAGTGGTCTCCTGGCAAGGATTTTGATGCCTCTGCCAGGGGTCCTCAAACTTTTTAAACAAGGGGCTGGTTCACTGTATCTCAGATTGTTGAGGGGCTGGACTACAGTTTGCAAGAAAAAAAAGAAGCAGAATTAATTCCTATGCACACAGCATACATCTTATTTGTAGCAGAAAAACATGAAATATTTATTATTTATTTATTAAGAGCATTTCTATCCCATCCTTCTCCCCTCTGAAGAGGGACTCAGAACGGCTATCAGCAGGCACCATTTGGTGCCAAACAATACACAACATACAATACATTTAACCTACAATTTAAAAAAAACAGTTAGAAATACATTAAAAACTATTAGCTATTTCATATCATCCTCCAAATCAATCCATAGTCATCAGTTCAACAGTCCATTAAAACCGTCTTCAATCCATTGCCGTCAACTAAAAACAGTCAGGTTCAACCATCTATTCTATAAATGCTTGAGCCCATAACCAGGGTTTGAGCTTCTTCCAGAAGGCCATGAGGGAGAAGGAAGATCGAATCTCATTAGGAAGAGCGTTCCACAGCAGAGGGGCCACCACCGAGAAGGCCCTGTCTCTCATTCCCATCAAATGCGATTGTGATGGCAGCGGGACTGAGACCAAAAGAACCATTTCATATTTAAAATGAAGAATGCTTTTAAGCAACATAAACTTACCAGTATTTCAATGGAAAGTGTGGGCCTGCTATTGGCTGATGAGAGAGTTGAGATAATTAGGATTGTTGTAGTGTGCCTTCAAGTTGGTTCAGACGTCGGATGACCCTAAGTCTAAAGTTTAGGATGGAGGCCGGGTAAATGACCTTGGAGGACTGCATCAGGACCATGGGCCTTAGTTTGGGGACCCTTGGCATATGATATCCACAGCTTCTAGCCAATCACATTGATATTTTTCTGTTCAAAACACAAAGTACAAACTGAACGGCTGCTGAACGTTAACGTTCCCACAGAACACAAAAGTATTTAGTTTTGGCTGGATCATGATTATGACTTAATTAAATTCCATTTTTACTGTTTGCAAGCTGTCCAGTCATTAGGCTGCACTGTATATTGTGTGCACATGTGCCTTTAAAAAAAGGAAAAGGAAAGGGAAAAGAAAATTTGTTTAGAAGATTTATAGTGTGAGCACTAAAACCTGAGGCAAAGCCTGCCTATTTCAGTAGTCCATTATTTCTCTTAGCAATGGGCATTCCAGTGTATATAGCTCATATATGGTCTACTTTCTAATTCTTAGCAGTCACAAGAAAAATGTGAGGATAACGCCACAGTCAAAATATGATAGATTAAAGCATTTCTCCAACATACATCAAAACAGGACTTGTGGTGAGAGAGAGAACATAAATTTGCCACTCAAAACAAAAAAAACAAAGAAGAAAGGAAGGAACAAAGCAAGGACTTCACAAAACAGAATTTTGGGGTAGTGGGATCTGAAATCTAAAATATAATTAAGGCTTTTAAAGGGTATTTAATTTTTCGGAAGGCAGTCAATTGATTACACATTTCAAAAACGTGTGCAGTTCTGTAAGTGACTTGTAGACAGTGATGATAAATGAGTTACAAGTCAGTGGGTGTGGATATGATTGAGCTGCTCTGGGTTTTAGTCTAAATTGTAAAGACAAAAACATATGTTTCAAATCCCCATCTTCCAGCACTTCTTTGAAGTTCAAGGTAAAACCTACATGGTAGAAATCCACTGCCATGAGAGCCTCTAGTCACCATTGCTTCAAGATGTCTTTGAAACTATCAATCAGATACAAATTTAGAAGGAATACAAAATATTACATCAAGCTTCAAAATCTGACTGCTGCCCTCGATCCTACATTTCTGGACCCCTCACCACGACACCAGGTTTTCCTAGGGCTAAGCAGATAGTGAAAAGAACAATGCAGCATAGAGATCAACAAAATGTGAGTCTTTGGTCACAATCTGATGGGTTCTGTTTTCGTTCCTGGTGTATTCCTGATATTGGAGGAAAATTTCAATGAAGCATAATGCCAAATTTGCAAATATCCCATGATCAAAAACAGTTTGAAAGTTTACAGACTTTGGGAGACTCAGGGCCCTTCTACGCTATACCAAAACCCGAGACTTACTGCCACCTTTAAGGTACTCTTTCAGTCATCCTGGGGCATAGAAATAACATGGCAGGAGATGGGGCAGGCAAGGAGGAAAATTGCTCCTACAATCTGCTGATGCACTACAAAGGAAGGCTGTGTGGGTGGAGAGGGACCATTTCCTGGGACTGACAGGTCTGTGTGTGGACCTGCTGTCAGGTCCTGGGATTTTTTGCCTCAGTTATAAAATGTGGATTTTGGTGCTGATGATGTTGCAAGTAAGCATAGTTTTTGAGATTGTGCACTAGCAGTGCTGATTATTATAGAAGATGATTTTAAGTTTAGTACATTGATCATGTTCCATTTCTCAGCCAAACAATTCTCAGGCAGCCTCTGAATGGAAGAGTTTCATACAAACTGACTTGAGGTTTGTGAAAGAACAGTAGGATATTACCAGAGTAAATAAATTATATCACCTCTGGCTAAATCATGACGATGATCTGAATGGAAATCTTTGGAATTGCCTTTCCAGTTCTGTGGACTGAAAGTGGAAAACCTGACTAGTGACTACTGTAATGCTCCAGTTCAGCCTTTCCCTCTTTCTTTGTTCCACACCAATAACAGCCAACACTTCTGCCTGCTTTTGTCATGTTTGTTCAATTGTCTTTTTTAAAAAATAAACCCTCTCTGTAAATGTTTATTTTTTTGGTTGTCATAGTAATTAGTATTTCCATTCTAAAGCTTTCATTCCATCTCTCCACACAACCTCCGCTCCCTCTTTATGTTACTCTACCAATGCATGTTCCAGACTAGGGATTCTAACCATTTTCTGCCAAGAATAAAATTAGGTTAAAAGTATCAAATTCTGTAGAAGTCTGTGGCTGAGATATAGGTCATAGTGTCTAGGTCAGAACAGTGGTGCTAATTCAACAGAGTGAAAAACTGAACAAAGACTAGAATGAGCTTGGAAAGATTCAAAAACATCCCTGATATTCTTGTGACAGTGATCTAAACAGGATGCTCTTGTCAAGTGAGATAATGAAAACAGGAACTGTCATGTCCCAAGCAAGTTGGGCAAGTCAAAACTTTTCCATGGCCAGAGATTTCGTTCTCGTTGGCTCATGACCCAGAAAAAAGTTATTGAATTATCAAAACTTGAGTCCAGATGTTGTCCTATTAGAACTATTGATACAGTCAATGGCTCAGGCTTTATGGAATTATCTCCTGAGGATCCAAAACTAGCTGTGTGCTGAAAGAGATTTTATTTGTGTCAGTGGTTGGAGCTGTAAAATAGTAATGTAACTATTTAAAAAAATTATTTGCTTTTTAAAGATTTAATTGTCTTCTTCCACTAAAGTTGTTGACTTATAGACATGGCAGGATACAGAAGGGGCTGCTATTTTTCCAAAGCAATTTTTTTAAAAAATACAATAAAAATAAAAGTCCGCTCTAATACCCAGTTTACACATAGACAATCAAGTATTCAGTAATGGGATATACAGGGTGAGGCAGCATAACTTCCTTTTTTAAAATGCACACCATTCAGTAGGTTGAAGATGTAGTGGAGCGCTAGTGGTCTTGTTCGAGAGGCGGGAGTATAAAGTTTTGTTCTGACACAGTTCAGTCACCATCATGCGTTGGAATAGTAAGGAGCATGCTTTTGCCATTGAGGCCTACTTTTTGAGCAAATTTAGAGTGGCCGGCCCGCTCTCCAGATTTGGCCCCTTGTGATTTTTTTCTATGGGTTTTTTTAAAATCCCGTGTTTATGTGAACCATTCAAGAACCCTACAAGATTTGAAGACCAACATCCAGGAATAAATTGCCAACATAAACGCCAGAAATCAGTTTACTCAGTGTATGGAGAATGGACAATGGAGAATGGGGGACGTCACCTACCTAATTTGATCTTCAAAACTATGTAAAACAAAACTTATGTAAAACAAAACAAAAATTATAAAAACATTCTGATTCATACAATGGGTTTTATTAAGTTTTGAAAAAAGGAAGTTATGCTGTCTCACCCTGTAGTCTTTTCCATTGAAATATACAGCATTTGTTCAATCCCTGATTCTGAGCAATCCCTTTAAAAAGTATTGTGCTTTTAAGAAGTGACATGACAATTCTTACTATGGCACTTAATTTGTCAGGACTCATTTATATATGTAGACCATCTGCTGAAAGTTCAGCTGATTAGAGAAATGGTTCCCAACCTTTTTTGACCAGGGATCACTTTGACCAGGGACCGCTTTCCAGCATTAGTACCAAAAGGGTTACAAATCGGTTTTTGGTCAACTTTTGATCCGGTTTGGTTATTTGGTGTCTGATTCGGAAAATTGCATTGGATAGACCACATCAACTCTAGTTTCCGATACAGAAAATATGCCATCCAATAGTCACCATCTGCTCGCCCACAGAAAACCATATTTAATAATCTAGAGCTGATGTAGTAGTAGTAACCTTTTGTGGATAGTCAGCTTCTCCATTCCCAGCATCCCCGTTGCCTCGGCACTATAAGAAGGTTTCGCGAGACCAGTTGCTCTATTTGCTGTGTGGTTTCAAGGCAACGGTGTAGTAATGGTGAGGCTGTAGACCATATTTTCGTTCTTGCGGACCACAGGTTGGGAACAATTGGACTAGAGGCTGATTTTAAAAGTTCTGCTAATCAGAATTAGGACCATCTCATCCTGGTTCTAGCTTCCAAAAGCAAATTAATGAGCTGTAATGAAGTAGAGTAACACCCTCTTATCCACACTCAATATCCATGATTTTCCTTAGCCACGTTTCAAAAATATTGTTGAGGTACGGCAGCCAAATATTGCTAGTATCTATTTCCAATCAAACACTTAAATGAGGTGACTGAAATCCAATAGTTTAATCTGCAGAAAAACACTGTCGGCTGGGTATGTAATAGTCGAGCACCACACTAGACTGATCTGCATGATGGGTTTTATAGTTGACCAGAATCGAATTGAAATAAACATGCACACATATGCGAACCTTTTTCCCCACTTTCTGTCTGCACCTTTTTTTCCTCCCAACTCTGTCCTTCAATTCTGCATCTCTCTATTCCTCTTCTTCCAAAACAATCCTGTTTTTCCAAAACAACCTTTCTGGTATTTCCCCTCTCCTGTGCTTCCCCTCTCATCTCTTCCAGATCATTTTGATCTCTTATTTGCCCCTTTACACACATCTCTTCCCTGGTGCCTGGCAACACTTTTCTCTTCCCAAATTCCTTCACTCCTTTTAGCTCCCTCCTCTCCTCTCTTTAACCCACTCTCAAAATTTTCTTCTTCTAAAATTCACACTTTTAAAATCTCAGCCTTCTTCAATATTCTCCCCAGAAGTGTTTGTGGATCTCTAGGTCCTCCAGTTCTATGGTACACTTTCAGCCCAAGCACAGTCAAAATCCAACTTTGACTATATTGCTATATTGATATTCATAGAGGATCTTGGAAATACCCCTCCCACAGAGAGAGGGAGGGAGAGAGAAAGATAGATGGCGATCTTATTAAACTTAAAAGCATCCTCTGTAATCAGCATTGCTACTGCATAATCTCAAAGACTGTGCTTACTTACAACTTACTGTCATACCTCCTCTGTACATATCATCATATGGAAAAGTAACCTGAACAAAACAGGCATAGCATACAAAAGCTAGGTTCATGAAGCAATTCTGCTCTTCCCTTTAATAAATACAGAATATGACTGAACTAGCTCTCCTCCATTAGTTTCTGTAATGCATAGTTTAGAACAGATCGCAAGAGCATTTTTTTCATTTTGGAAAACATCTCAGAAATTTCTCAGCCATCTCAAATGCATCCCAGATTCGTATCAAGTCACTACAGAGTCTGGGCAATTGTTTTGTTTCATTTTACTTTGTTTATCTCACCCCTAGTTCTGTTTGCAAACTCTTAGTTATGAACAGTTGCTATTTGTGTTGCATGTTTAGTCATGGGCTGTTGCTGCCAAATTGGATGATTGGAATTCTTATAAAAGCAGAAAAAAAAGACTTTAATACACTTATGGGGAAGAATAAAAACACCCACAGTAAAATCATTGACACGTGCAGGATAGAATATGAGCACAGTAAAACCAAACACATAAAACACAGATCTCAATCTCTTCCTCCCTCCCCCATTCACCCCCACCCACTGGTTATACTTTCTCCTTTTCTATCTGTTGTATAGCCTTCCTCCAGGTACAGTATTAATGGGTTGTTTTGTTAAACTGGGGTGAACAACTGTGCAGGGGCAGACATCCATTTTCAAATCTGTAGGCTTCAATAGCATTTCTTAGCACACTGAAGTTTATGTCACATCACTTATTATCAGCATTTGACATTGTTTTTTAAATTAACTTTTGTGAATGGTTGTCTTCACTTCTGGATCATTTGGGAAGGGGAAAATCTCCAAAATGAGTCTGATTATTTTAAGAGAGGGAAGTGCTGAGTGCTTTGGGACATTGGCATAGATCTTTTGACAGCATAAAAGTTCAATTTCAGAGTTACATGTCTTTTAAAGTGAAAAGGTTAGGGATTTAAACAATCTGAAGAGGCACGTTAGGAAGAGAAAGGCATCAAATCAAGGAAGGTTTGCCAGAGTGAAAATGGCACAGGACTCCTATGATTGTGTAGAAGAGAGAATTTCAGCAAATTTTGCTTGTTAGCTCATTTATCCAAAGTGCTGAAATTTCTCCTTCTGTTATTCTTGTTCTGTACCTTCGAGTCGCTTCTGACTTTTGGCAACACTAGCACCTATTATGGGATTTTATTGACAAGATTTATTCAGAAGAAACTTGTCATTGCTTTCTTCTACACAGCTTTTAAAGATTTGGGAATCATCTTCAGTTTGGCAATTCAAGTCCAGCTTTATAGCTGCATCATAAACCAATTTCCTCCATTAGCTATGTGACAGCTCTTCAAATATTTGGAAATTGCTATCATAGCATTTTAGTCATTTATCATCCAGGTTAAAATGGAAAAAGGTGAGAAGAGGTGGGGAAAATGGAGGATCAAGCAGCACTATTGAGATTTTTTTAGCCGCAGTTTTATGGACATCAATGTATTTTTCTAGATACACTGATAGAGTTGGTCATGATCAGTGATGGAATGATGGGATTATTTATTTGCTGATTTTATATCCCATTTTCTCTCAACATGGGATTCAAAGCCGTGTAGAAATTTTTAAATGTACAAAAGTTCATGCAAAATTACATTGCATTTATATTTAAGAAGCATACGTTTAAAATAGCATGACAAGATGCTTAAAAACATAAGCAAATAAAAAATACTCCCTATTAAAAGCTTTATCTGCATATACACTGCAAACCAAAAGCCTACTGACAGAGGGTCACCTAACTAGTTAGCACATCATAATCATGACTAACCCAATTGCTCCACCAGCTAAGAATAGCCATGCAGCATCACCACCAGAATTAAGAAAGAACTTTTGATCAGTCAATCCTTACTATGTCTGGCCTTGGTGCCATTTCCTGTATTGAGTCAAACAAAGTCACAGGCTTCATTCTTGATGGTGCCCTTTGGGCGGTTCAGTGTGGCCCTTCCTTGCTCTATCTTGATCCTGAAAAGTTTCTAGACACCCCTCAAAACATGCAATTTTTCAACTGAAGAATTCTTGCAAATATTTAACATTTTAATATACTATTTCAGGAGATTCCTCCCCAGAAGATGCAAAAGGCAACCAGGAGTGAATCAGTGTCACTTTAAGTGCAACTATAGCCAGGTCCAAAGATTGAAATGGCATTCAGTAGCCCTCCTGGCTCCAGAATATGCTCATCCCTAATGTAGATGAAAGGTAGGAAATGGTGGCATATTTAAATTTTTCACCACATGCTAAAGAGGTAATCCAAAGTGTCTTGGCTTGTCAGCAGTACAAACAGCTAATGTCAATATCTCTGTGCAACCATTTCCCCCCATATGCAACCAGTTAGAAACAGTCCATGTCTAGGAGAAAATGTGTGATTGTAATAGAACATCAGTGTCATTCAAAAATTCAAACAATAGAAATCTTGAATGATATCTTCTGATAGTAAAGTTGACTGATAATTTTTAAAAATAAGCAATACCTATTCTGTTCAGGACTGGTGTCCAACCCATTCCAGGGAAGTAGAGGAAGCAACAGCAAGGGCCAGGCAGTGCGAGTGAGGTCCACACGGTGGATGGGAAAGTAGAGGAAAGAGCAGTTCACTGTCATCTTGGATGAGAAAAAGGAGAATTGTTGCCTACTCATTATCCCCCAAAACAATGTGTTAACAGACAGCACTGTTACAAGAAATGTCTCAAGTCTAAAAATATCATAGTACAACAACCAATCCAGCCTGCCATGTGTGAAGGTGAACATAACAGTCTTCAGCATTTGTGCTGTCAAACACTACAGCATGTAGACTTCAAAATGTCATGGCATGTGGCTTCAATTAATAAAAAAACATGCAAAGAATATACGTGTATGCATTATACTAGTGTGCTATGTGAGCAAATTATGATCATAAAATAGGGCTAGAAAGAATTATCATATTTATTTGTTCTTAAATTGGAAAATGTGGTTTCTGACAGTCAGGAAACCACATTGGGAAAGAAAATAGACTATTGAAAATCTTGGTATTTGAACATCTTCAAGTGTTGCAAAAGCCTTGTTCTACATACAAAAACACATGGCTGTAAAATTTTGCACAAACATATTTTCTAGACAGAAAATACTACTTACATGTACAGCATTTTTTTCTGCACAACTTCCCCATTTTTCTATGTGGAAAAAATCCTCCACGACATTTGGGAAATGTGGATAGAAGAACATTGCAGAGGGATTTTTTTTCTTCTTCTTCATTGAGGAATAATCTGCTATAAATATTTGTGAGTATTTGTGCAACACTCCAGAATAAAAAAAATTGAGGATTTACAACTGTATCAAATATTACTCTGCTGTTCCACATCTTTTTTAAAAAATCCCCTTAGCGTAACTGATAGTAGGAAGATGAAATGGCTTCCAGTCAGAAAATATTTAAGTGACCTCTCACATAGGGCTTGACTATATTGAGCAAGAAAACCAATGCTCACTGTGAATGCACCACCATCTGCCTTTATGATGAACAGTGACATTCAGTGCATATTCCAGTTTTGAAGGGATTACAGTAGAGTCTCACTTATCCAACATAAACAGGCTGGCAGAACATTGGATAAGTGAAAATGTTGGATAATAAGGAGGGATTAAGGAAAAGCCGATTAAATGTCAAATTACGTTATGATTTTACAAATTAAGCACCAAAACATCATGTTTTACAACAAATTGACAGGAAAAGGCAATTCAATGCATGTTAACGTTATGTAGTAATTACTGTATTTATGAATTTAGCACCAAAACATTGCAATGTATTGAAACAGCTGTGGATCCGGGCAGGAGGCAGATTGCATTGGAAAATACAGAATGTTGGATGAGCGAAGGTTGGATAAGTGAGATTTCACTGTAATATGACTTTGCCCTGCTTTATACAAAATCAAAGGATACTCCAGAGTTTTGAACTAATCCATTGTCCAGATGGACTCCACCACCATCACATTTTCCCTCTGCTAGCCAGCACAGGAGAAAGGTATGGCTGGTCACAGAAGTTAGCGCGAGCACCTAACCATTGTGGTCATTTCTGTTGGCAACATTATAGGGTGCCCACATGAGCAGAATAAGGGGTAACTTACTTGCTGCTTGCATGGATGCCCTACTCTGCTACCAGCAGAGTTCCTTGGGCAGCAGGGAGCAGTGAACGGGACACAGAAGACAAGGTATCAACCCAACAAGGCCAATACAATCCTGCCCAATCTGGGCCCTGGCCTCAGATTTAGCAAATGCATCCAGGATCTGGTTCTATGCTGTGACAGGTTTACAATGGAGAAAATTGCTTGGTGTAGCTGTAGCCATTGTGAATTAGCTCCAAGTAAGTCATTCTGTGAACAGAAGGCATCAGGATTCAATAGAAGCTCTCCACTGGCTGAATTGGGGGGCGGAGGGGGGGTATCTTCTTTTATGCTGCTTCAGAGTGTACATCAACCCTCCATTGCAGTTTTTTGGGGAGTTTAAAGGGCTGCAGGAAGAAGAAACAGTCACAAGAATTGCATTGTCGAAGGCTTTCATGGCCAGAATCACGGGGTTGCTGTCCGTTTTCCAGGCTGTATGACCATGTTCCAGAAGCATTCTTTCCTGACATTTCACCCACATCTATGGCAGGCATTCTCAGAGCTTGTGATAAGTCACAAGGATGATCTTCCTGTGTTCTTTCTATAGCATGAGTGAAATTTTGCTAAGTGCTGACATAGTATAAACCCAGTGGCTATAAAGTATGAAAATATGACTATGTACCCACCAGCAACTCATAAAAGATTAAGGTAATAGATGCATATGAAACATCCTATGGCCTTATAATGCTATCTAAATGCTAACTTATGTTATCAATTGCTGCCTTCTAACATAATTTATATTTTCAGCTTTTCTTGTTACTGCCTCAAGCCTTTTACTCTTCTGAGGTTGCACATTTACTTATGAGTCAGTCAAACTAAACACACTGAGACTTTATCCTGCATAAACATGCATGGGAGGATTGGGCTGTTATGTTTACATGAATTTCCTTTTCCTGTCTCAGTCATGCCTCTCCATCTCTTATCCATGCAACAAGCCACCCTGGAACAAAAATATGACATGCCTCTTGGTGGTGCCATTTATTCTGTTCTGTTACAACCTGGCTTTTAAGGCAGGCTTTTCCTCTTAAGAAACTGCAATCACTTGTTGCCTCTTAGAATAAAGGATCTCAGATTGTCTGGGTGATATAGATAATGGTGGTTTAATTTGACTTCAGTAGTCTCAGCATTGCTTTGCAGAGACCTAACCAAAGCTCTGATGCGAAAGCTGTCGTTCCAATTAGGTTCCAATTAGAAAGTCGTTTCTTCTTAAAAGTGGCTTTCATCTCATAGCTTTGTCATCACAATTCCTGTCCTTTTATTGTGATAAAAGAAGAGCTGCTAATCCTTAGCTTGACCAGGCTGTAACACCAACCCATGGGTAAACTACACAACACACAAGCACAAAGGAATGCAGCCTGAGCAAAGGAGCAGCAGGATGGTGGAATAGTGGAAGGTGCTTAACTCCTTCATTCCTGGCCAGTTTTTCAGTTCACATTGCCTTTCCCAAAATAGACATTTGTTTGTTTCATCCATTTATATTCCATCTTTCCTCCTCTGATTATCTCAAGATATATATATATATTACCCTCCATATGTTTATTTTCATTATAATCCTGTGAGATGTGTCAGGCTAAGAGAGAGAGTGACCTTGGGCCCTTCCACATAGCGCTATATCCCAGAATATCAAGGCAGAAAATCCCACATTATCTGGATGTGGACTCAGATAACCCAATTCAAAGCAGATATTGTGGGATTATCTGTCTTGATATTTTGGGATATAGGGCTGTATGGAAGGGCCCTATATCCTAAGATCTTATCCCAAGTTTTCTGCTTTAAACTGGATTATGTGAGTCCCCACTGCCAGTTAATCTGAAATAAACAGAAAACCTGGGATCGCATCATTGGATATAGGACCTGTCTGGAAGACCCCTAAGGCCCCTTCTACACTGTCCTTACATCCCAGGATCTGATCATAGGATATCTGCATTGAGCTGGATTATATGAGCCCAAAGTGCCATATAATCTGGGATAAGAAGATAATCTGGGATCAGATCCTGGGATATAGGGGTTGTAGAAGGGACCTGACTAATCCAAGGTTATCCTTTTGAGATTCATAGGGGACTAAATCCACTTTCAATCTCACTTTGAAACTATAACTATTTGTGGGATTACTTCATGAAGCTTCTAGCATGCATTAGGAGCTCCCTAGCCATTAATGGAAATGCTCATGAATGCACAATGCCACTTCAAAGCAGACTTCAACTCATTGTCAGGGTGTATTTTTAATAAATAGGGAACTCTCATTTTTAGCCAGCAAAAGTCTTTCCAAAGTGTGTTTAGATTGTATGATAGGTCACACATGCTGCTCTATTGGGTTTAGGACATACACGTATTTTATACTGTTTCACTTTCCTGTCCTCAAGCTGCTGGCCATTTTGCTTCCATCAAACATTCTGAGAGTTGGTTCGGGGGCTTCATGCATCCCACAAACCACGTTTCCCCATACCTATAGAGTCAGACACAACCTGGAGGCTACTGTAGCTTTATGCAATACTATTTTTTTATTAATACACTAGGGTCATGGTCCACAACTTTAAAGGTGAGTAAGGATAATTTGAGGTAAATGTGATGGAAGTTCAAAATTTCAATACACTGGAAAATATTGGTGGATACTTAGGAGTACTAGAGTTGTCAGATTGGAAACTGGAGAAGTTGTTATCATAGAATTGGAAGAGGCCTAAAAATCTACCATCCTGTAGTCATAATTTTTTTTCCGATCAGATTAATGGGAGATTTAAATGTTGGATGGGTGATCAGAAAATTAGTGTTAAAATTCTGGTCTGTGCATAGGTTAACATGGGGTCCTAGGCTCATGGGCCTCCTGGGCTACTACCCAACATACCCATGCATTAAGATGGCGCTGGTTACCCTTTTCTGAATTTAGTCATACTTCTCTACACCCTCCTTAAGATGAGGCATCCAGAACTGAATGCAGTACTCCAGCCGAGGCATCTCCAACAGGAATATAGTGAGATTATTACTTCTCTTGAGCTATCTCTCATAGTTGTTTTGTTTAGAAGAAGCAATTTCAGCAGATGTTGCTGCTCATCATGCAACCCGGGTAGAAGCCTGACATTCCTTCTTCTTCATAGCCATGAAAGATGTAGGAGCCCTTTCCAGTTTTCACATTGGCAATCCTAAACCCGATACTCAAAAATAAATTCTACTGTGTAGAGGAAGGTTTCCATCTTAGTAATGGGATATATAATTACACTTTTTGGATGTGCTGAATTTTTGGACATTCACAGTGGGGTTTTTTCCTGGGATTTGGTGCTGAAAACAGAAGACTTAGAATAAGCAGTTGGGACTTCATACCGGAAAATAAAATCTAATGGTCAATACTGGCCACTCTTAGTCTGAGAAGTGGGAAAACATATTCTGTGTTAAAGCACAACACAAAATTAATCTCATCTTGGATTTGTCAAGATTGGCCTTAAGTAGAAATATATTCCATTTACTTCGAGTTATACTGCAGACAATTAAATGCAATTTTAACAGAAGAAAATTATTATCCACATTTGCAATACTCATTTTCACAGAAATGGAAATCAAACATATTTATATACCAAAGAATGGACTGGCAGTTAGTGTTCTATATGGGAAAATAATGTCTTTGTTGTGCTTGTAGATAACTATGTGCTGGAAAAATCAGTACAAAATGCCTTCTTCTTCATGTTATTATGTTTCATTTTTTTCCTATTGTCATTGTTTTGAAAAAACAATTTAAAAAAGAAAACCTTGATGATCTGAAACAATGTAACAATTATGGAGGAAATGGGTATAAATCTTTATATCAAGCATTATTTTGCTTCCAGACGCAATATCGAATTCAGTTTATGAAGGTGGTATATACCTCTTTGCTATATAGGAGAAAACAAAACAATTGTTCATAGAAATTGCACAGCCTTTCTTTCTAAAATCCCATATCCTCCCAATTCCACAGATGAAATCTGGGTCACGTGACTGAGCAACATCAAGTAAAAAGGGTATTTGGCTATGGCAAACAGAAAAGCAACTGTTATTAATGGATAATAACATGCAAAACTACTCTTTCAAGAAAAAAAGCCTTGAAATATATGTTCTGAGTTTAGGAAATCCTACAAAAAGAAGAAATGGCAAATCCCCACTCTCTCCTCTCCCTCCTGCTGAGTTAAAAAAGTGAAAAGAGGATAAAAGAAATAAGTGAGACAAGGA